AGTTGGGGATGGGGGAGATAAGACCCAGGAAGTGATTAAATATATAGTTTATGTGGAAATACCGACCTTTGGCCAAGCCGGTGTGAAAATGACCACTATAGACATCCTCTCTGTTCTTCAGTGAGACCATCACTTTGTTCAGGGCTGGTTGGAGTCACAGAAGCAAAAATTTCCCTTTATTTTTATTAGGAACATTAACTTTGTCTTAAGTGGTTCATTATTTCATCTTAGTTTCGTAACATAGCTATAAACAGAATGCTGACTTACCAATATGTAAAGCAGGAATTCAGTAACTCTTTTTCTTTGATTAGAATTTCTTCATGGGATCCCTTCCTTTTCCTAAATCTTTATCAATATTTCTTGCATTGCATGACCTTTTGATTACTCTTCCCCACCTTGCCACCCATCCAGTTTCCTATAGCACCGTTGGCAGGGTTCAAAACACATAGCCTTTTTCCCCTTATAAACTTTATTTATTTTGTTGTTATTGAGTATATACACAGCAAGACACATCAATCCAGCAATTTCTAAATGTCCAATTTAGTGATATTGATTACATTCTTCTAATTGTACAACATTGTTACCTACCTTTGCTGCGTTGTTCCCTCATGAACATACACGCACTGCCTCCTCCATGTCATAGCTAATCCAGTTGCTGGTGTCAATGTGAGTTCGCATAGATAGCTCTGACAAGAACATAATACTCAATGCAAACCAATTTTATTAGTTCAGGTAAACGGTTTTTTTAGTGGTAAGACAATTTTAGTGGGTATATTTGGTTTAAGGTAAGGTTTAAAGCTTAGCCAGAGCAATAATTTCAGGGGCTCATTTACTCCCTATGGCTCCAGAAAGCCTAGGGTCCACGAGAATGTGAAATTCTGTTCCATTTTTTCCCCTTTTGATCGGGATTCAGCTATGCAATATTTGACCAACATGCTCAGTACTGGTAATTGGGCACCATTCAGTACTTCTGCTCTGATGGCAAATGAGGCAATTGTTCATAGAGGCGGTTAGCCATGCATTCCTTATTTTCCTTCTATTCCTGACTCCCTCCTCTGTTGCGGGAGGGAGGTGAATAAAGACCAATTATTGTGTGTTGGATGGTCACTTGCAAACTTTTAAGACTCCAGGCACTCTAAATGAGTCAGGAGGAAGAACAGAAGCGCGAAGTCCATTATTAGGTCCAGTAACTGTAACGTTGTTTGGTGTCATGGAGTCGGTTCTGATTCAGAAGCGTCCTGTGTGCAAAACAAAACACTGTTCTGCCATGAGACGTCCTCACAATTATATTTGAGCTCATTTTTTGCGACCACTGTGCCAATCCATGTCCTTCAGAACCTTCTTTTTTGTAGACCTTTCTCTCTAGAAAACACGATGTCCTTTGGCAGGGATTGGTCTCTCCTAAGTACGTGGGACAGAGTCTGTCCTCCGTCACCATCAAGGAGTTTTCTGCCTGTCTTTCTTTTCAGATCTACTTATTTACTCTTCTGGCGGTCCACCGTGTTTTCAGTATTCTTCCCCAACATCATATTCAAGTGCATCCCTTTTGCAGTTTTCCTTATTCGTTGTTCAACTTTCTCAGACGTTTGAGCAATTCAAAATCCCCTGGACCGGGCTAGGTGTTCCTTAATTCTCAGTTTCATCTGTGCTCTTCACCTTGAAAGGCTTCATGTCCTGTGGATTTGCCCAGTGCAGTCAGTCCATCATGGATTTCTTGCCTGAACACTGACTGTGTATCCAAGCAAGAGGAAATCCTTGAAAACTTCAGTTTTGTCTCTATCTTAATGTTGTCTGTTGGCTCAGTTGTGAAGATTTGGGTTTTCTTTACATTGAGCTGCCATCCATACTGACGGCTGCAGTCTTTGGTTTTCATCAGCAAGTCCTTCGTTTTTTTCCTTGCTTCCAGTAAGGAAGGTTGTTTCATCTGCATATCTCAAGCTATTAATAAGCCTTCCTTCCGCCCGCTTGTCATGTTCTTCTTCATGTACCAAGCTTCTTAGGTTATTTGTTCAGCACACAGGTTGAATACGTATGGTGAAAGAATACAGCCCTGACTCACACCTTTCCTTATTTGAAGTCGCCTGTCCTTATTGGAAGCCACTCAGTGTACCCTTGTTTTGTTCTAACCACTGCCTCTTAGTCTGTGTACCGGTTCCTCATGAGTACAATGATACGCTCTAGAATTCCCATTGTTCTCAATGCTACCCATAGTTGTTATGATCCACACAGTTGAATGCCTTGGCCTAGTCAATAAAACACTGTATTAGTCTAGGTACTTTAGAGAAAGAAATCCACAGCAACTCATGTATAAGAGAGTTTTATGTAAAGAAAGTGTGCATCACGAAAACATCCCAACCCAATGCTGCCCAAGCCCACAAGTCCAACATTAACCCATTAACCCATTAACCCAACACCAGTCCACAAAGTCCTCCACCTCACAAAACAGAGGCAATGATGCCGACTGCAGTAGGATGCACTGACTGAGTCAGTGAACGAATAAGCATCTCAACACTAGCAGGGGTCTCCACAAGGCTGCTCCAGCACCCAGGTCTGCATCAGGATAGGTCCATGTGGCTTCTCCTTGGGGATGTCTTATAGGAAGTCAATCTTGCAAGCTGAATCAGGGAACTGCTAAGGCAGCTGCACCCTGGTGCGGCCATCACAAAGCAAGGGACTCGAGAACTTGAGAGGCGAGGCTCACCACCCATTTATCCCTCTGCCTTTCAATTAGCCCCACATGTGATTATCGGCCAGGTTGGCACAATTAACTAACTCAAACACAGACAACCCCTTTTCTGGTCTTCTCTGCTTTCAGCCAAGATGCATCTGATGTCATCAATGTTATCACTTTGTTCCTGACCTCTTCTGAATCTGGCTTGAATTTCTGGCAGCTCCCTATTGATGAACTTCATCACCATTTTACTTGCAGGTGATATTATTGGATAATTTCAGCATTCTATTGAATTACTTTTCTTTGGAATAGTCAGAAATATGAATCTCTTCCCATTGATTAGCCAGATAGCTGTCTTCCAAGTTTCTTGGCATGGTTGAGTGAGTGCTTCCAGTACTTGATCATTCTGTCAATTCTGGGAGTTGTTTTCTGTCTAAATTTTTCAGTGCAGCTTGGGCTTATTCACTCAGTACCATAGGTTGAAACGGTTGATGGATCAGCTAGTTCCTTTTGGTACAGTGACTCCGTGTATCCTTCCATTTTTCTTTTGATATTTTCTGCATTGTTCAGCATTTTGCCCATGGAGTCTTCCAATATTATAACTCGAGTCCTACAGTTTTTCTTTAATATTTTCACTTTGAGGTGTGCTGACTGTATTCTTCCTTTGTGGTTTTCTAACTCTAGATCTTTGTACCACACATTGTCTTTCCAAGCTGCCCTTTGAAATTTTATGGCCAACTATTGTATCATTTGTTCCACCTGCTTTACCTACTCTGATCAAGAGTGACTTTCAGAGTCTCTTCTGACATTCACTTTTTTTTCCGTTCCTGTCTTTTCAGTAAACTCTTGGTTTTATTATTTTTGTTGTTCTTGATGTCCTCCCACAACTCAGGTCTTCTGTCATTAGTCTTCAATGAGCCATTCTTGAAATGTCCTTGATTCAGGTGAGACATACTCAAGGTCATATTTGGGCTTTTGTGGATCTCTGCTTCAACCTGACCTTGTGATGAGCAGTTGATGGTCTGCTCCACAGTCAGCCCCTGGCTTCCTTTCGACTGCAGATATTGAGCTTCTCCATCTATCATTTCTCCCCACAGCTGTAGTCAGTTTGATTTCTCTGTATTCCATCTCTACAAATAGAAACTTAGAACTTTTTAGCAATTGACGTTTCATTTTTCCATTCCCTCTAGCCTCTGGTAACCATGAATAAACTTTGATTTCTATACATGTCTATACATCTGTTCTAACTATTTCATGTAAGTGGAACCATATGCCATTTTTCTTTTTGTGCTGACTTAGTATATTTTCAAGATCTTTACTGTATCATAGGGTCTATCAGAACTACTAGTATTTCTTCTTCTTTTCTCTCTGTTTTTATAAAGAGAACATTTATTAAGCCTTAAATGGGACAAAGGTAAGACAACTACAGAAGTATATCATCCCAATGAGGGAAACAATTAGCAAGAGGTCGTAATAGTGTCCAACGGTTTGCTGAGATACACAGTTTTTAGGAGGACATGGGAGGTCATGGAAGATGGTCACATAAACATGGTTGGAAGCGAATTAATATAACATAGTTACTGATGGCACTCCCAGAGATGGATCAGGGCCATCAATGGGACACATGCATTATGTAATTATGTAATATTGGTTCAAGGGATTCCTCGAGGCATTAAGCATGGCTCATGACCATGCAACCCTCATTACAGAGAGGAGCCCCATCAAAGATGGGACTGCTTCTCCTTATGGCTGAACAATGCTCCATTGTATGGACATGCCACCTTTTGGTCCATTCATCTGCTGTGGACGCTTGTGTTGTTTCCACCTTTTGCCTGTTTGAATAATGGTGCAGTGAACATTGATGTATAGATCTTTGTTTGAATCCCTGAATTCTTTGGGGCATATACTTGTAGGGTCTTGAGGTAATCCTGTGTTTAACTTTTTGATGAATCACTAACTTGCTTTCTACAATAACGACACCATTTTCCAGCTCACCAGCAACAGACGAGAGTCCCGGTGTGTCCTCATCCTCACCAGCACTTCTTACTCTCCATTTTTGTGACCTTAGTAGTTTTCAAGTACTCCTATCTGTCCAGCAAGGAATTTCTGTACCCTGTTGCAAATATAGTTATTCATTTTATTCAGCATTTTAAAAAATCATTTTATTAGGGACTCATACGACTCTTTTCACAATCCATATTCAGCATTTTTAAGGTGTTTTTTTTCCCGTCCCATTGCCAGAACTGAAAGTCTTGATGAATTGTTATGAATTTGTGTAATAAGATAATTGATTTCCTGGAATCATTATGTTTTGTTTCTTGGATTAAAGGATGGAAGACTCCAGACAGGGGACCACATCTTGAAGATTGGTGGCACAAACGTGCAGGGAATGACCAGTGAGCAAGTTGCACAAGTGCTGAGGAACTGTGGGAATTCAGTCAGGATGCTCGTTGCTAGAAACCCAGTTGGTGAAATTTCAGTAACCCCTCCTACTCCTACAACCTTGCCTATTGTCGCACTGCCTGTCAAGGCCAACAAGCGTTCTGGTCCTGTGAGTACACAGTTGTTCATCTTAATTGAAATAAGGAGGTTCGATATGCTGTAAGATTTGAAATTCTTCCAATATGGAGTAGTCTCTTGGTATGAGTAGTATCTGAGTGCTTACTAGTGAAGTGTGACAGGAGAACCCGCTGTGGAGACACTAGATGTGTGTGTGTGTGTGCGTGTGTTGTGGTTGCTCGGTGGGAAGTCATTCAGCCCCTTGGAACCACAGCTACAACTGTAAATTGGAAAGCAGTACTATCTGCCATGTCTACTTCACTAGGTTGCTGAGAAGACATTGAACTTATTTGCAGAAAGTGAAATAGTTGTTAATTATCAATGAGAGGAACATACTGGCAAAAGACAATACGAGTAAAGAGTAGTTGTTCTCAAGTAGACTCCAACTCATGATGGTCCAGTGTGTGTCAAAGTAGAACTCTTATCCATAGGCTGGTTGTCTTTTACCAAGTAATGTAATATACACTTTGGAGTAGCATGACAAGCTCATGTCATAGGGACCATATTCAAATTCTCCCTAACACAGGTACCAAGAAAGGACTTGTCAGAGTGATATGGTTTAAGTATTACTTGTAGTTGAAAGGATTTTTTACTTTTTAGGACAGTTCTCCTTTTGAAACATATGATGTTGAGCTCATCAAGGAAGATGGACAGAGCCTTGGCATTAGAATTGTGGGCTACGTTGGAACCTCCCAAACAGGTAAAGGCATCAGTTCTACTATTTCATATTTGAAAGTAATTGTAAAAGATATTAAAGGTTCTGGACAGTAAAATGAAATACCTGCAGATTTTAATTGAAACACTGAACAATGAAACCGTGAATTTCTAATAGCAACCAGTTACTTTTCAATGATTAACAGTTTTATCTCAGTAGTTTTATAGCTCGCTTGATAGTCATTAACAAAAAACTTAATTGTCTAGTTCACTGTATAACATTTGAATTGCACCTCCTTTTTCTTCTAAAATGAATAAATTTTTAATATTGTGAATGTTACATATGGGATATTACCTCATGTGATGCAGTAAAATGATTACTGCATATATTTAATATTGTGAATATCAAGAAAGTATTGCTACTGTACTTAATAACTAAAAAATTATAGTCATTTTCCTTTCTGATAAAGAGAATGTATTATGAGAATAAATAAATGGCTCAAATATCTCTGAATAATACTCCTCAGCCCCTATATGCAAAGGATTAGTAACTTCACTGTAGTAATTACTGTGCTGTAACATAATTACCGGAGTAAAGAAAATAAACCTTTTACCACAAAGATTTTCTAGTAACATAACAAAGCAGAGTTATGCAGTGTACTTTTTCCTCCCTTTAAATAGCAAGATTTGAGAATTAATTTCTTTTTAAAAATTATCTTGTGTACTTAGGCAGGTGGAAAAATTAAAAGTGCTAATGTATTCAAAGTCCTGAATGAAATTCATATCAGATCACCTTGTGCTATTTTAGCCTAATGAAATATCTGTTTTCAAATCTTTAGATTCTCCTACGTGCCCCCATTTTTTAGGTTCAGAATTTAAATGAGTTCCAGAAGGGCTAAGTATGGATTGTATAATAATATTGCAAAGACCTATATTAAGTAACATCTCACTAGCTTTGCGTGAAAGTGGCGTGGAGGCCAATTCTGACCTCTTCCTGCTACACAGTGGAGAAGAGAATCCAGCTTCTCACCAGCCTGAGACCATTGCCTGAGGCAGTGGTCAAGCAGGCCCCCACCTCCCCTCCTTCTCTTACCCTATTATGATAACAGCTCTTCTTACCTCGACACTGTTTTTCTGTTGGCTTCAGTAATCCATTGGCTTCCTTCATTGCACTTAGTTCTGGAGGAGACACAAAAATGCATACAGGCAAAGTCTCTTCAGGGAGCCAAACATGTGAACAACCCTTAAGTTGTTTCAAGAAAAACATCATAGGTGCTTGAGACAGACGAACCACCTGGCATGGGATTGCAGAAGAAAGCATTTGATAGAGACAAATGGAGAATTTGCAAAGAATATTGAGCTGCGTATGGGCAAGGAGAAGCATTTTGATAGAAGAGATGAGGTTGGCAAGAAGAGAAAGAAAGACAGACAAAATCCTGAGAACCTTTGGTGTTTTGGGAGGCTCTGTTCAGTGTCTCTGGAATTCTGTGTTGGTGGAAGGATGGAGCAGAAGCTGACGTGGCATAAAGACTTTGAGGTGGTGCTATGGGACACCTTGAATGGCGTCTTTGAAATATAGGGCTGTTTATGAAGGCAGTAGGGTTCCGTTGATGTTTATTATTGTCTGCAGACAATATTTTAAGTTCACTTGGAATTAAATACTAAAAATTAAAAATCCAGATCTATGACTCTTCTCCATTTTCCCCTGGGGCGCTTGCCAATAGGCATGCATAACTTTTTACTTAGCTGTGCTTTTTTATGTTGCCATTTGTTTCTGTTTAAATGCTGCATTATATGAAACAAGGGCTATTTCATACGGCTGAGCTATTGTAGTTTTTAAAGGTCATGGCCAAGTGCTTTTCCTTTTTCTGTGTTTGGGGAAGGTAGTGGGTGTTTTGAACTAGCTGTGGGCAGGAAGACCTGCCAGGAGACTGTTCTTAGAGTGCTGGTGAAAAACGATGAAGACTTAGGCCAAGTCAGCAGTCAGAATGGAAATGGACTAGGGAAAGAGGATCAGATTCAGCCTGGGCGCTCCTGAACTCCAGCGGATGCTGGCGTGCATTTCAGCAAGGTTCCATTACGGATTAATTTCTCAGAAGAACAGACATCAGTCAAGCCATCTCGAATTCTGGTCACTTTTGATGTTGACAGTTTGAAATAATCCATCAATTTCTCTGCTTGTGTTCAAAATTGTATTTATAAAGCCTCTAGTCAGCCCATTTAGCTAATTAATCTCTTGATATGAATTTTGCAATCAAGGTCTAATTAGAGCTCTCTTACTATTTTCCATATGTCTTGTGCACCTTCAGGGGAAGCTTCAGGGATTTATGTGAAAAATATTATACCTGACAGTGCTGCATACCACAACGGTCAAATTCAAGTGAATGACAAAATTGTTGCCGTAAGTACCTGGCCTCTCTGTTTTAGCATTGAGTCAAGTTAAAAAAAAAAGAAGTTTGATCTTATTATAAGTATGAGGAAAATGGCATAATATATTTTTATAATTGTTTTTAAAAAGCTGTTTCTTAATAGAGAAATATTAATTTGTTTTTTAACAATTGTTATTGACTTGATTCTGATGCCACATGATCCCAAATGTGTCAAAGCAAAATTGTGCTCCATAAAATTTTCTCTTTTTTTTAAGTCATTTTATTGGGGGCTTGTATAGCTCTTATCACAATCCATAAATCCATCATTGTGTCAAGCACATTTGTCAAGTACATATGTTGCCATCATCATTTTCAAATCATATTCTTTCTACCTGAGCCCTTGCTATCAGCTCTTCATTTTTTTCCTCCCTCCTCCCCCCACCCTACCTCATGATCCCTTGATAATTTATAAATTATTATTACTTTTTCATCCATAAAGTTTTCAATGCTGATTTTTCTCAGTTAGATTGCCGGGCCTTTCTTCTGAGGCTCATCTGGTTGGTCTTGAACCACTGAACATTCAGTGAATAACTGAAAACATTTGCACAACTCAAGAATATAAGTTTTGTGCTCGAATGATCCTAAACTTGATTTTAAAACAATCTCAATGAAGTACACATTCACTAACCATATTGATAGTGGGAAAATGAAGTATAGATAATGTATGAGGGGGCTTCAAAAAGTTTGTGAGAAAACTAGAAAGAGAAGACAATGGAATTTTTCCGTTATCTGTATTTGAGACCTATTCTAAAGAACACTTTTCAAACAACTCTGTGTTTGTTTTTTAACTCACCTATTTTGAATGTAATTTATGCCATTACCAGCTCTTTTAATCTCTTGATAAAAAAATTGCAGTTCTAACAGAAATTGTAAATACACCCCAAATTGGGTCAAACCCACCAGTTATTAACTCCTGTTATTAAGTTAATGGGAGAAAAATGTAGCAGTCTGCTTCTGTAAAGATTTACAGCTTTGCAAACCCCAAGGGACAGCACTACTCAGTCCTATGGGGCTGCTATAGGTCACAATTAATTCCATGGTGGTGGGATTTTTTTTAACAATGTGGTATGTGTGTGTGTGGGTGGGTGGGTGGGTGGATGGTGGTGGTGGGGTGAAGTAGATCAGTGTGTTTCTTCTGGAAGACATAGTGGTATGATTTAAAAATGTTTACTGATCTCAATTTTGATAATAAACAAAACCCCAAACCCAGCCGTTTGTCTTTGACTTGATTCTGACTCATGGCAACCCCAAGTGTTGCAGAGCAGAGCTGCTGCTCTGTTGGGTTTTCCTGCCTGTAATCTTTATGGAAAGGCATTCTGGTGCGACACTGGTGAAACACCTGGCCTCTAACCATAGCTTGGTGGTTTGAACCAACTGGCTGCTCTTTGACTGAAAGATGTGGCAGCCTGTTTCGGCAAAGATTATGGTCTTGGAAACTTTACAGGGCCCTATTACTTTGTCCTCTAGGCCCCTACTCATTTAGAATAGACTGAACTACAAATGGATTAGATTTTGGGTAAACTTTATGGAAACCAGGGAGTTCTGATGGTGTAATGAGTTTTGCATAGGATTGCTAATCTCAGGGTTGGTAGTTCGAAACCATGGTACAAAGATGAGGCTTTCTACTTCTGTAAAAATGTGTGGTCTCAGAAACCTACAGGAGCACTTCTGCTTGGTCCTGAGTTGTAGTTGACTCAATGTCAGTGAATTTTATGGAAAGTAGGTCTTAGTAGCAAAGAACAAACTGTTCATACCACCTACAGACCTTTGATGATAACTCCTGTTACTACATTTTGATAGCTACGTATTACAATTTATCTTTTATGGCACCCAGAATCTTGAATCCCACCTGAAAACAGACCCCTGTTTTTACCTCTATTAGGCTGCTCAATTAAACATGAGACTTCCGACTACCAATTTGAATTTGCTTTCTACTTTGTCAGGACCCTTATAGAATATTTTACTAGTAGTTTTGTATTCTTATTAGAAGATATTTTCTACAATAATAGTAATAGATAATTTATTAAGGGTTCAGGGGGTGGTAGGATGGGGGAGGAAGGGGAGCTGATATCAAGGAGTTCAGGAAAAAAGAAAATGGATCGTAAATGATGATGGCAACAATTATACGATTACACCTGTTCTAATGGAACAATGGATTGTAATAATATCTGTAAGAGCTCCCAATAAAATGTTTTTTTTTAAAAAGGTATTTTCTAAAGTCTAATAATAAATTATTTAGGGACTAAAATGAATTATTTCATTTTATATTGCCTTGCAGAATTAAAAAATAGTAGCTAACTTGAAATCTCTGTTTCTTAATGTGTTTGTAAATGTTTTTAGGTTGACGGTGTGAATATACAAGGTTTTACCAACCAAGATGTTGTGGAAGTATTACGAAATACAGGACAGGTGGTACACCTAACTTTAGTTCGAAGGAAGACATCCTTACCAGATTCGCCACGTGAACCACCTTCAGAACGGGGTAATTCTTCCCACTGCTCCTGTCCCATGTAGTCTAGTTCAGGGTAGGAGGACTAGCTCTTTGTGGAACTGCTCTGGGTATTTGAGTAGGGAAATTCACCCACCTGTGAAGTATAGTGAAGGAGATATGAATCAGATCATGTGTGCGTTTAAGAAGAGTTTCCTATGGTGTCATGAATGCCGGTTCAATTGTTAGGACCCAAACCCGTGTCCGAGAGAGTCTTTGAGCGGACTCGCCATTAAAATTCATTTCCCCCCAAAGCCTCTGAATCTCTTTTAGGACCTAAATTTGAAAAATAAAACTCTGACACTTGTTGGTCGAGGAGTTCTCATTTGTCTAGTTCTTTGGCATTTTATAAATTTAGGTTTGTTTTGTTTTTAAGTTTCATACTTCTTATGATGTATTTTATTTTAATCTATTGATTTACTTGTTGAAATGCAGTGAGAGAAAATAAGACTTGGATGTAACTAGAGTTACTGTGAAGAACATTTTTTGGTTCTTGAGTAATATTTGTTTGTATTTTGATGATAGGAATAGTAAATCTTTATTATAGAGCCAATACATTACTATGGGCATGTCAGCTTTTAATTATCAACTTATAAATGTGGAAATCAACAAACGTTGGCCATCCTGGGAACACATGTTCAATTTAAAATGGCCAGTTACATAATTAGTGAGTAATATCGCATTAAAATTTGTCTGGAGATGAGCCCAAGACTTTGGTTTTCTCTGGGGATATGCCTCTGAAATATCATGGAAGTCTCTGCTCCCAACTGACAGTGATTTGTATTTGAATTGGAACTTTTAAAGTGTTATGTGATTCTGGAAATTTTGTGGGGTGACAGGTACCCTTGTCAACGGCATCCTATGTATGACACTTACAATTGCCTTAACAGGACACATTGGTACAAATGCTACATAGACCTTGAAACGTGTATATAAATATTCATAGAGCAGTAGCTCTGATAGAGCCCTTGGCTTCAGTCTGTTATGTCAGATGAAGTCGTGCACCATCTGTGAATTAGCGTTTCTTTACTGCGGCTGCCTGTGTTTTCAAGGTGTACCGGGATAGGAAACATTGTAAGTCTCTTCCATTGTTTGGGGTGTCCTTCTTTGTGAAGACTCTTAACACCCTTTGGAGGACAGTCCCTCCCTTGTAGCATTCATCACACTACATTGTAATCTTGCTACATCATGTGTGGCTACTCTAGGGTAGAGGAGTGACTCTGGCTCTTGATCTGCCCCACGTGGCACATCTTTGTGTGCCTCGCATGTACAAGCATTTAATAGTTTGTTTTACTGAAAGACGCTGCACAACTTCAGCGCTTGCACAGTAACTTACTTTAACCATTCTGAATTATTTCTTTCTTTCTACATCTGCTCTTCGCGGCTCGGGGTTTGGCTCGCAGTCACACCGTGTACTGCTGTGTCCTTTTTCCTCTGTGGCTGTTCCCCCTAGTGATTACACTAGCTGCTGGGGGGCATTTCTTACACTAGCACAGGCCTGGACTCCTGGTGGGTCTCAGTGAATGAATGAGCTGTTAAAAGAGCAAGCTCATGTGAATAACTAGGAACTTTAACTGGTTCCAGTGGTGGCCTAGTGGCTTATCTGTTGGGCTGCTAACAGCAAGGTTTTAAAATGACTAGCTTCTCCGTGGGAGCAAGATGAGCCTTTCTACTCCTGTGCAGATTGACAGTCTTAGAAACCTGCCAGGGCCGTGCTACTCTGTCCTGTATGGGCACCACGAGTTGGGACCAACTCAACACCAATCAGTTTGGTTGAGTTTATTGTGAAAAGTGTCTAGCATACAGCAACACTGAAAAACAATAAACCCCCAAACCTACCAGGCAGGTTCCACAGTTCACATTTTGTTATTATTTTCCTTATTAATTTTTCTTGTTTCATGGAACATTTCAGAGTGAGTGATAGAACTTATGACACTTTACATCTGCATATGTTAGCCCGTATTTTGTAAAAATAAAGACACAAGGAGAAATCCACAATACAATTCTCTCAAACAAAGGTCAGATTATCCTTGTCTCCCACTGCCCCAATGACGTCTGTAACTTCGTCATCCCCACCCATGCTCCCAAGCCACCCAAATCCAACTGCACAGTGCAGTCTCTGTATGTTTATTTTTCTTGTATTTTTCCCCCTATTTCAATCTGGAGGAGCCCACACCCCTGTTTTCTGTTGGCCTAGGCTCTTTGAGGGTTCGGTTCATTGTGCACTAGAAGGCCATATTCTGAATTTGATTTGTTTCCTTATGGTGGCATTTAGCTCATTCCACTGCCCATGGTGAGTCTTCCAAGCTGAACGCTAGGTGTGAAAAAACCTTCTATTCAAGTGAAATAATTTTTTAAAGAATACTTTACAATTACTGTGTGATTATTTGAAACATCACTTAGGACTGTTATCCAAATTTCTCTTTGAAGAGATAATAGTGAGTTAAGCTTTTATGTAGAAATCCCTGCATCTGGAAGGATCGGGAGCTTCTTGAGAACAAAGGGATAGGCCTCAGAGTTTTATATGTAAGAGGCTTCAAAAAGTCCATGGAAAAATGTAATTAAGAGATCATGGAATTTTACCAGGAACTTTTTTCGATAGCTCTTCATATTAGCAAGCACATAGGAAATGGTAGCTACTTGGCTTGATTTGAACTTTTCTAAGGTTCGAACTGCTTTTACATAAAGAACATCAAACTAGTGACTTCCTGACAAGCAGGAAGTCAGTAGACTTTAGTTTGAAACGCTGGTTTGCCAAGGTGGACTTGTGTGTGTGACTCCATTTGGGGCTACTTATTTAGACCATAGGTTCCCAAACTTATTTGACCTACCACCTCTTCTCAAAAGAAACATCACTCAGTTCCGCCCTGGCAATTTAAAAACGTGTGTGCTACCACTCATATCGGCTTATACAGCCTCCCCCGAATTGTTCCAGCCGCCCCCAGGAGGGCACTATCAACCCACTGGGAAATCGTAATTTAGATGATTACCAACACTCTCGGTATCTCCTGTTGTTTCACTTGACTCATTTGAGTAAGCCATCTCCACGTGCACACTGGTAGTTTTTCTCCAACTCCTTTCCAGGTAATAAGCTTTGGGCTGCAATCGGCATGGTTGGCAGTTCAAAACCACGAGCTGCTCTATGGGTGAAAGACTAGGCAGGCATTCTACTCCCGTAAAGTTAGTCTTGGAAACCCACAGGGGGTCACCGTGAATCAGTGTTGACTTGGTGGTAGTGGGTTGAGTATGCGTTCTTAGTAGTCTTTATTTTAACTCTCTGGGTTCTAATATCCATTGCAGTGGCTACATAAACTCAAACAAAATTCATGAGTGAAAGGTGTATTAAAAAAGTTAACAAGTTGTAATGTGAGTGAGAAATGCTCAGGATAGTTGTTTATCAGGACGTGTTACAAAGTTCTTTCAGGTCTGCTAATAAATGCCCAAAGGGGCATGTATAGCACTGTGCAGTGAGCCTCAACTGGAAGGCATTCCCCTGAACTCAACACATCATGCAGCCCGGTTCCTTGAATTAAGTGCCCAGAGGCAGCCAATTCCACAAACCAGCCTTCTGCGCAGTAGTATTCTCTTTATTTGATCCATGGGCTGAGAATTCCACTATTCTCTTCCATGCCCTGGCTCCTGGGTCTACTGGTATTCCTCCCATATTTGCTGTCTTCTGGATCCAGGATGTTCAGTATGCTGGGATCATACTCCATTCAGGAATGAGGTACCCCCTGCTTCTCAGGGGCTCAGTTTATGTACTGCAGGATGGCATTCCTTGGAATCCTGTTCCTGATTACTCACAGGTGAATCCCATCTCTCTTTCCCCACCTTCTTACCAGACCCACGCAGGAAAAGGTCATTGGGTGGGAGTTACAGACTTTGGCCAGAAGAGCCACATTAAATAAATCACTGCCCTATGGAGACATGTTTTGTTAGACTCCTGATGATGTCATGCCACGTCCTAGGAGAGACCAGGGCTATCAGACTGGCTTATTCTGCATGGAGTGAATCCCTGGCCACCGCAGCTTGTAATCGGAACACCCCAGTGTTCTCTTTCCCGAGACCGTCTTGAAAAGCGCCAACACCAGCTTTGCCCTCTAGCTTGACCTCACTCTTCTTGCTGCCCACTTTTCTTCCTCTTTACGACATGTCAACAAGTTTTTCATTCTTTACAAGCAATCGATATCGTTATCATGCATGGTATTTTCTACAAAGGAATCGCAGATTTAAGTTTCTGGAAATGCTCATAAGCAGGTAGTGAAAAAACGGAGCAGGTGTGGAATAAGCTCATAGAAATGTGTTATTAATAAATACGTTGATATGTAAATATATTTTAGAAACTGCTGTAGAACCTCCCAAAGCGCCAGCCCTCTTTCTAAGTGGAGTTGTGGAAACTGAAACTAATTTGGATGCTGAAGAAGAAGAAATTGAAGAAAGACTGGATAATCCAAAAAACGACAATGCACAAATCGTAGAAAAACAGGGTAGGCATACAGCATTCACTTTGAAGTAATTTGAGTTTTCTATTTGTTAACCCCTGCCCCCTTTACAATTGCTCACATTATATTAATAATAAAGACAGTTTGTAGGTAGAAATGGATATTCTTCATAGCAGCATCTAATACTTGTGGGGAGGACTTGTTGGAAACAAAGCTTACTCTTTTTTAATCTTCATTATATTAATTTTGAATGCATATATATTAGTGTGTGATAACTATTTTTTTCTTATTTTTACTGACTTAGCCCATTTCTTCCTTTAGATATAGAACTTATCTGTACACACATAGAAGTGTTGGTTCCTTTTTACCATAAACATTAATAGTACACACACATGCATATGCATATACTTTTAAGTAATATTTTCTTTTGCTTCTGGTACAAGTGTACACAGCTGTTTATTTTCCCATTCCACAGTTTCTCTGCAAAACGTTCAGTGACAGAATTTACGTTTTTCACATTTGTGCACATTCTCGATATCTTTGTTCTGCTTGTTACTCATATTTTTATGTTGCATCAAAAAGCTATATTGCTGTTATATATGTATCCTTCTTTTAAGGTTGATATACAACTTTGACCTTTCGGTTTGTACTTTGAAGTACTGTACAGTCGGCTTTCAAAAATTCATGGAAAAATTCCATAATATTTTAATTCCATTTTCCCATAACTTTGAAGCCCTCTTGTGATTGATTCTGTCCTGCAAGAAGATTGAGTGTGGTCTCATAGTCCTCTACCCACAGGTGCTCAGGAGAGCCTTCCGTGTTGAATGACATTATCTGAAACACCACCATTCCACATTACAGAGTAGTTTTGTGGGTGGAGAATCTTTGACTTTGATTGGCTTCTCTCAGGAAAGAACAACCTGAAAGAAGGCATGAAGGAAGGTGCTAATGCGCCACGAGGGTTAACCAATTCCATAGTGTCTGGCAATCTCGCCCC